CTTCCTAAATATTAAACTTTTTTCTTCTTCTTCTTTGAGCCTGTCACCTCGACTGGAGTGCAGTGGCATGATCATGGTTCACTGCAGCCTTGAACTCCTGGGCTCAAGCCTATAGTATTTGAGCCTACACCAGATACTGCTACCACACTTGGCTACCAGATTTTAAACCGTATAGGCTAGGAATTGCCAATGGATTTCAAGAAAGTCTTACAAAAACTGTAAACAAAATACTCAACAGTCTGTCATCCTTACTAAATCAATAGTTTTCACACTTTTTAAACCATGGATTATTTTTGCAGATGAAGCCTTCTATCAAGGATGTTAGATGATAAGGCAGATAAAAGCAGAACTGCTCTGGTTGATACTGGGAGGAGTGGCGGTGGGGGCATAGCTTAGACAGAAAGTACTTCTGTAGAATCTTTGGACTCAAAAGACCAAAATGTACTTTTAATAGTCCCAATAACTTCAAGAAAAATACAGCAGAATTTGAGAAGGATTCAGTGGATCTTACAGCTCTGCTGTATAAGGGAAGACAGGCTGAAGCAGGAGAGAACTGAAATCTAAAATCTCAAGTAGTATGGAGAGGTAGAACATGAACTGAACTTTCAAATTTTTGGTAATAGACTAAGAAGGGCAACCCTTAGAATTTAAGAGAGGAGAACAGGTAAATGAACATACTGTTCACACTGTGGACATAATAATTTATGGAACTCATTACAAAAGAGAGTTCAAGATGAAAATAGACATTACATACATATTTAAGCAAGTGAATAGGTGACTGAGCCATAATAGATTGTTAAGGGAAATTAAGGTATTTTAGGATTTACTGTAGGTAGCAATTAAGAGATCTTTGACACATCTATTGCAGATGAAACTGAACTAAATGAACGGTGGCACTTTTTATATACTAGTCAGATCTCTAAAATATATGCCAACTGTGTAGTATATATTTGAATTTTTACAGTTGAGATTCTAAAAGTGGTTGTATCACAGAGGATAATACTGAGGATAATAATGGCTGCTTGTGGAAGCTTGAAAATATATTCTTGTAAGTTGTAAGTTGATTTCCAGAACTAAATTATCATTAGGAAATTATAAGGGATAGGTGGCCATATTTAAGTTTTATAATATTTAGAATGTATAATACCTACATTTCGATATTGAAATATCAGCTTTATTTGAGTATAGAAAGCCATTTACTGAAATGATAGATTTATATTTGTGAATGCGAAAATATACGCCAAAGAATGTCAACTTTGAAAGTTATTTGGTAAACAAAAACTAATGAAAGAAAGGTCATATGTTACTGCTACATTAGTGTTAATATGTTCATACATTAGACCTTCAGAGTCATAAAATGTATATGTAAAACTTTTTTCATTCTATATTTGTTCTCAGGTTTCCTTTTATAGGTGATGAACTCTACATCTAGTTGCATAATTTTGGAGTCCAGAGTGCTCACCATTACATGATGTAGTTGCATATATATTTTAAATGCAAATGATATTTACCTTTAAAGCTAGAATTTGCCAAGGAGAAAAAACAGACTGATCCTGAAGCTTTTAAATATTTTTTTAACAGTATAATACAGATAATTGTATTGAGCTGGTTAAAAAAAAAAATCATTTTTAGAAATAGGCTAACAAAATATTTCCAGTTTGGAAAAAGTATCTGTTAATTAAAAGGTGTTTAGTTACTACCATACTAACCTTAAACTGGGTTTTTCAGCCCAGTCAGACTGTTTTATAATTTAAGTTCTGAATCTAGCTGGCATGTACATTTAAATTAGTGCATTTAAATCTAACTTTACATATATTCTATCTTCATATTTTATTGTTGGTTATAACTTTTTAATGGAAGCAATATATGTTAATTAGGGAAAATTTGGAAACATAGAAGTGTGCACAAAACTTGCTATAATCCCACTGCCCATAAGTGAACACTATTTTAATGTTGGTCCATTTCTTTTGAATCATTTGGTCACATGCAGACATATGTGCACCCATCCATATTTATTCTTTATTCTTGGGTTAGGGAGTTCTATATTGTATTGGCATATTAGTTAGGGTTCTCTAGAGAAGGAGAACCAGTAGGATGTGTATATATAGAAAGAGGTTGAGATTTATTTTAAGGAATTGGCTCTTACAGTTGTGGAAGCTTGGTAAGTCCATGATCTATAGGGTAGGGCGGCAGAGTGGAGATCCCAGGAAGCAGTTGAAATTCAAGGCCAAAGGCAGTCTAGAGGCAGAATTCTTTCTTCCTTGTTGAGGAGAGGAGGGCACCTCTGTCTTTTTCTGTTAAAACCTTCATTCACCTGATTTGATGGGGCCCACTCCCATTGTGGAGGGTCATCTGCTGTACTCAGTCTACTAATTTAAATATTAGTCTCTTCTAAAAAACACCTTCCCAGAAACATCTAGAATAATATTTGATGAGGTACCTGAGTATCATGGCCTATTCAAGTTGACATATAAAATTAGTCATCACAATTAGTATATGATGATTTTGAGTTCCATTTCCCTGATTTGGAAAGATTCTAACAATTATATTATTGCATATAACTTAACACCTACTATATACATACAACTTATTCTTTTTAATTCGTATATGAGTGCCTGGATCTTTATCCCTACTATCATGAACTTTACGTTCTATGAGGAAAGACATGTGATAAACTAATAAGTTAATAAAAATATGTCAGTCCTAAGTGCTATGCAGAAAAATAAGGCGGGATAAGGAGATAGTCATAGAGGGAGTGTAGGGTGCTGTTTTATTCAGGATGGTTAGGGAAAGCCTCTCGATTAAGTTTCTATTTAGGTAGGGACTAAATGAACAAAGCAGAAAACCATGCAGCTGTATGGGTGAAAGGCATTCTGGGTGAAGGGAGGAGCAGCAACTGCACGGATCCTGAGGTGGGAACGTGCCCAGCTGGTTTGAGAACAGCTGCTAGTAGTCCCATGGGTGGAAGGAGTGCAGGAGTGGGATAGTTATAGGGAGAAACGTGACAAGACAGGCTGTGGTCAGAAAGTGGGATGCTAGTGCACTTACTAGCAATAACGGAGTCTGGGGATGGTTAGATGAATTAGGGGGTAGATGGAAAAGTCTGCATCTCTAATCTCTCTGTATTTCTGATCATTTTTACCTTCCCACAAATGTGACTATTTGTTTTAGAGCTGTTTATACTTGTACTCACATTCTACAACAGTTCAGTTTTGCTTTCAGAATCCCCAGAGTTTTATAAACTCAAAGACCAAACTAAAGGGTAGTTACTACTCATCTTTGTGGTGTCTCTGGGATTCCGAATCCCGTTTAAGGTCCCGTCAGCTGTCTATAATATAAGTATTGTTTTGTAGCCCCATGCCCAGGATATCCTCAAATGAATATGAGAGGAACTTACTACTCTTCATGTGTAGGGGCTTTACTTTTGACTTGCCTGGCTCAATTCCTCTATCATGAAATGATGTAACACCTTCTATAGGAGTGTTCTTTGAATATTTCAGTGTTATGGAAGGCATCTATGGTTTTTGACTTTGGAGATTCAGTGATCTTAAATTCACTCCTAATAAAGTTGTGTCAATATAGGTATTTTTCTTGTAACTGGGAATAATAGTTTATAAATTTCGGAATGTAGCTGAGGATTGCGGGTTCTAACATCTGCTGTCATCAGAAAGTATTTCATGATCTCTCCCAGCAGTTGAGGCCAAATTTCTGAACACTTTACTTTTTCCAAATGTATTTGCTGAATAATGGGTTTGGTTCTTCTTGGAACTTGTAAAGTTACCTCATGGAATGGAAAAAGAAGGTTTTGCCAACAACTGGAACACGTACTTGACTCCGTAACTATATTCAGCCAAACCATGTTCAGATGTTTGTACATGATGTGCTAATCATGTGCCCATTCCGTTATGGAGTGGTTTGGGTTAGTAATATTAGCATACTCTGTGCCTGAGCAAGGCAGATATTTCAGTTTACATGGAAGGCTTAAATTATTGGGTTTTAAAGAATGTTGATCCGATATATTTGATTGCTAGTTATTTCTTCTGGATGTCTAGGTCATTATATTTTGTTAGTGTCTTAGTTTTGTTTTATTAGCATTTTATATTTTAATATTTCAATTTTCTTATACAGGGATTGTTTTACAAAAATTTTAGTTTATTAGCATTTTAATTTTCATAGAATGTTGACTTTTATGAAATCTTTTAAAGAAATTAAAATATTTGAATATGAATTTCAGAAAATGTATAAAAATCTATTTATGCCTTTGTTATAATTTTTTTTAATTCTAGTAAGTATAACCGAGCATCTCAGCTTTGAAATGCATTTTAACACTTTTTTTCTTTAGTCTTAGAATATAGCCTTGAAATTACTTTGAAACTCTGTTTTCCTTCTTTTTACACTAGACACTTCCTTGCACCATGTATGCTTATCTACTATATGCTTGCTTAGAAATTCCAGAGGCTAATTTTGAAACAAACCAGGCGTGGAGGCCCTGTGGAATCCTCCCACTTAGGGGGAGTTGTGAACGATTAGTCCACTACCACTAGGCTGAAGTCAAATAATGCCAAGTGGACCTCTGGATGGCCGGTTACCCAAGATAGCCATCAGAACAAGACACGCAGACCCTGTGCCATCCACACATTTCCCATAGCAAGTTTCCTTTTGAAAACACTATGATAAATTTTAAAACTTAACATGGGACTTTAGAACACTAGTTCCCTATCTTCTCAGTTTGCTGACTCTCTGTTTAAAACCTTCTTTCCCTCCCACCAAACTTGGCCTTTCGAGCAGCAAATAGCCAAACCTGGGTCTGGTTACATAAGTAGGTCTGGGATCTTGATAACGGATCATCTGCAATGTTTGTATCTTCTCATTTGACTCAGTATTCAGTCATTATAGAATAACTAACTGCTATTTTTATCAAAAAAAATTCTGTACTTCTTTCCTTACCTCATTTATTTCCCTTTAGTTTATGATTTATAATGGTCCATTGTTTTGTTTAGAAAACAGCAAGGCTCGAAGTAACGCATTTGCTGAAAAGAATGGACTTCAGAAATATGAATATGTTTTACATCCAAGAACTACAGGCTTTACTTTCGTGGTAGACCGTCTAAGAGAAGGTAAGCACCCATTTCAAAATGTACTTTTTAATGAAAGTGGCAAAAATTGGTAAGCTTTATATATAGCCCTTTAGAGTTTATAAAAGATTTTTTAATACTTTATCTCAAGAAATTAGATACTGTATTTTTATTCCAAGTTGACCTATGTACTAAAATGTTTTGCCGTGTATTCTTGAGAGATATAAAAGAGATCTCTGTAAAAACTTCTTTCCCCTTTTTTGGAACAGACATAACTCTATGTTACATACTTTTATATATATATACACACACATACAGCATATGTGTATATGTGCACGTGTGTGTGTATGTGTATATATATGTATGTATGTATGGAGTTAGGCTATAATTCCATTTTAGGATATTTCTCCAGTGGCAAAAGTGTCTTTTTTTTTTTTGAGATGGAGTCTCACTCTGTCGCCCAGACTGGAGTGCAGTGGTGCTATCTTGGCTCACTGCAAGCTCCGCCTCCCAGGTTCACACCATTCCCCTGCCTCAGCCTCCCGAGTAGCTGGGACTACAGGTGCCCGCCACCACGCCCAGCTAATTTTTGGTATTTTTGGTAGAGACAGGGTTTCACCATGTTAACCAGGATGGTGTCAATCTCCTGACCTTGTGATCCACCAGCCTTGGCCTCCCAAAGTGCTGGGATTACAGGCATGAGCCACTGCACCCGGCCAGAAGTGTCTTAAGAGTATCTTATCACTTAATCCATTCCTCTAGTACTCATGAAAAGCAAAAAAAAAAAAAAAGAGAGAGAAAAAAAATCTTATCACTTAAACTAACCATATGTTCAGCTCTTAGGGTTTGAGAATATATCATTCTCTTACTATTTTAAGCTATAGAGAAATATAACAATCTGAAAAATAATTTTACTTTAATTATTTCACTCAGTCCACCAAGTAATGGTTGGTAGGAAGGGAAGTGCCACTACCTCTACTATTTTATAGTAGAACTGGCATCCAGTGTGGTAAGTACATTTTCACAGGTTACTTGAGTCAGGGATAGAACCACCTTCTTCTGCTTCCTTATTTGTAGCTCATGTCACACTTCTTTCAAACTATGTCTATTCCGGGGCATATATGAGCAGAAAGTGATTCCGTTGATCATGTCGCACCCATTTAAATGCTTAAGTTTTGATGTAAATGAAAACCAATTGTACTTTTTAATTATAGTTCTGCATATTTACAAGTTTATATATTTATACACATTTGTACATACAAATAACACACATATGAAGTAACTATTTGGAAACATACTGAAGTGTTAATTTTATAACAATTCAAAGCCCATAGTCAGCTAACAGAAGAACTGTGTTTGCACATTTCTGCTCTTCACTCTGATTTCCAGTAAGCATATTCTGTAATGGTGATCTCTGTGACAAATTACCACCTTCTGGTAACTGATGCATTTTCATAAAACTGCTGTGCATAACATGAAAAGTCTTGAACCATTATGTAAGAAAAGGTACGAAGTTCTTCTTTCCCTAAATGGCATCACTATTGTTCTTTTAGGATTTAATATGCTTTAAGATAAAAAGTATAACCTACCAAGATGAAGCATATTTATAACCAAGTACCCATGATTTAAAGAAAGGTTCACAATCAATTCGAAATCACATGCTATGGTAAACCAAAAATGTTATCCATATTAGTTTGGTTTGCTTTTGAAATTCTGTGATTTCAACTAATATTACATGGACTTGTGGGCTTGACATTCCTGTTGGATGTGATTAGTGAGTGCCCATCTACCCATAGAAGTTCATGGAGAATACGGTTCTTCATGCCTGTGGAGTAGGGTGGAGAGGCACGAAGACATTCAAGTAGTGATGCTTTTTTTTTTTTTTTTTAATTTGATACCATTTACTGTGGCATGTAACTTAGACTCACCCTTCTCATTCAACAATGTTTTTCTATTTTACAGTATTTAATGATTTCTTTAAAGGTATTTCTGACATCATAGAACAATCTATAGAGCTCTGTTTTGAAATCTGGAAAATATTTTAGTAGCAAACTGATTTATAACTTTGGTGAATGTGTATTAGTCCTCACTCCAAGCACTAGTCAGCAACCACAATATGTAATTTTTCCTGCCAGTTGTGGCAGCTGGTCTCCCCAACATCCCTCCTGTATCAGTAAAAAGAAACAGAGATGATTCCATTTGTTTCAGTTAGAAAACAACAGTTAGATGATTTTATTTGTTAGAAACATAGAATGGGACTTGTATACTATAATAATAAAAATAAAAAATATGATGAGGATAACTATAATAGTATAGCAGCTAACATTAACTGAGCATTTACTAGGTACCTAGCATTATGCTGTGTGTTTTATATGCCCATGATCAATTCATCTTCACAACAACTGTACGTGGTAGTTACCATTATAACTATTTATCTCATTGTGCAAAACTGAAGCAGAAATTGAGGTAAAGAACCTCATCAAAATTGTTGGAATACACTTTGTCTAACTGAATAGCTCATGTTCTTTCTACTATAAATAGTTGCTGCTTGTATTTATAGTATGATTTTAGTTAACAAAATCTTCAGATCATTAAGCACCTTTCTAACACTAGTGAGCTGGAATATTTTCTTTAAGAAAGAGTTTAATAAGAAAAGAATTTAAAAAGAAGCTAAATGGCCTGAACACGGAGAGATGGTAGTCACCAGGCGGCTGGTTATGATGCTGCCTGAGATAATGGGGGAGCAGAGCAGGCAGAGGCCAAGGAGGCATCAGGTGGGGAGTTGAGGGCAACTCTCATTTCTTGGGGGTTCAAGTGAATAAATAGAGGAGTTTCATTAGTGATCGGAGGTGAGGAGGATCTTAGAGGTCATCTAGTCCAGAGTTCCCTTTTAGAATGGGAATCTAAGACTCAGAAAGGGGCCCAGCCTGGCTTTCTGATCTTTAAGCTCATATATTAAGACTTGAGATCATCATATAGATTTGTTTGAGTTTTAGGTTTGAAATACTTGTTTTTGAATTCAAAGAAAACAGTTTATATTTCAATCCATACTTAGCTCATATGCTTAAATTCTAAATATAAAGGAATGAAGGATGTAATCTTTCCACTGTTACTCTAGGGGAATACAGGGTTAACCACAAAATAAAAATTAAATTCCCACTAGGTAATTTGGATCAGCACACCTGAACCAAATTCTTCAGTTTGTATTCAGAGAGAGAGAATTGCTGACTTAACATGCAGATTACATAATTAGTGTCTAACAGTCTTGTTTGTGGGACTCTTGATGTTTGTCTACAATAGTTCTCGTGTGCTCTGAGAAAGTTGATAGCTACATAAAAGCAGTATACCAATCATAGACAGCGTAGTCTTCAGTAGCATTGTTAAACTATTTTAATTTCTTAGATTTTTGGTTAGTGCTTAGAGCTAACAGTCCAGTCTGTCTGTGGCCTACAGTGGAGGACTAAAGGTGACCAACAGAAACCCCTCTCTGTGGCTCACATTGCATTTATAATAGTCAGCAAGCCTCTCCCAGGGTGGCATTTCAATTACCCTTTCGAACAGCCAGCATGTTTTAGGAAGCAAGGAAGAAAGACAGACAAATTATTGAAATATTGGGTGCATTATATATCATGCACTCTGACCTTTTCATATAGCCTTTTATTGCTGGAAACTATGAAATTGGATAAGACCTTTCCGTTATGTTAAATAAGATGTGGTTGTACAGTAGACTTTTGACATTTGCTAGAATATTTTCTGAGACAATTTGCATTTCCTCAGTTTTAGAAATATTTTTGTAGTTTAGTAGCTTTTGAGACCATTTTACAAGGAACATGATAGAGTGCAACAAAACCTAAATGAAGTTTGTACACTGATCAGTGGATAAGCACCCAGATCACCTAAGTGGCCTGGTGACCTGCACGTCATGAAGCAGAAATTCTTCAAATTTGCCTCAGGAGAAGTATACATGACCGCATGTCAGAGACCTTTGATGTCTCTTCATGTTGAATTTTCAAATGCCATGGTATTGCTTTAGACCATAAAGGGAATTCATATTGTTTTCTTTGTTCCTTTTAGTCACTGCCCACCTCGCCCCCCCTTTCCCTCCAGCGAAAAATCTGAGCTGCTCATTTAGGACAGATCTTGTTGTTGTGTTTAGTGAAAAAAGTCATGATAGCCTTAATGAAAAAGGATAGAGGCCTATCTGTGTACTTAAAAACAACCATCTAACACTCACCAAGTTCTGTGCCAGGTATTGAGTTGTGCACGTTTCTTTACCTTGCCCATGCAGTAGAATCAACCATAGAGCTTTTTAAAAATACAGATACTGAGGTCCAAGCTCAGACCTATTGAATCATTCTGGTGATGGGGACCTAGACTCATAGCTACTTCTTTCACCACTTACGTATCCCCTAATTCTCCTACCTAAGCTAGGTGGTAGTTTGCCCTGTACTGCACCTGTGGAGCCTGGCTCTGTTTAGCAACTTTCTCAGGGTCATACTGCTGCTGAGTATGACTTTAAACTCAAACTTTGACTTTAAATTCAAGTCTTTTTGATTCCAGTGCTCATGTTCTTTCCACTGTATAATAAGCTTACAGTTTTTCAAATGCAAAAAAAAAAAAAAAAATTATTCTTTGTAGATTTTTTTTTTCTATTTCCAAGATTTCTCCCTGATATCCTTGGCTCTACTGTGAGTTCTGTTTAAATGAAAATATATATATATAAAGGATTTTCTTTTTGTAAGCCTCTTTTATTTTTCCGATTTCTGCCTTTACCAGTTCCTCCTCCATTTCTCTAATCTTTAAAAAAACAAAACAAAACATGACATTCAAACTATCTGTCCTTTCAAATTGTGGTTCCATTCTCTGGCAGAACCTGGGTTGAAAGAGGGAAAACAAAATTGTGGTTCAATCGTTTTCTTTCTTTTTGCCATCAAATTGCAGAAATAGCTTGATGACTTGATTTTCTCAACACTGGTTCATTTTTTATTAAAAATAGATAATAGTTTTTTTAATTGTAAAAACAGAACGTACTTACTGTTAAA